ATGCCTCCTTCTTTGGTAAGACAGTGTTATTTCAACATTTGTATAATCTCATATACCTGCAATGTGACGAGATATTGTTAATATAATAATTTCTTGAAATATTAACTATTTCTTTCTTATTATGATTTTCGGCTAATGTGTAATATTCTTGTTTCGAGGCGATAGAATGCAGATAYAGGTATATTTCTTGTTAGGATATTACACCCATCATATCCATTGACATGGTATTGTCTTAATCGTATACAACACACTCAATTTGTGTACGTTAGAACAATTAGAACAGATTTCATGCTGTAAGGTTTAATTTTAAAATGAATTAGATATTATTATCAATCGTAGAGTAATCAAGGTAAAAGGTAAGAGCGCATTGTTTGAGTTTATACCTACTTAAATTTCTTACGATATACCAATCACTAAACGAGTTATTATCATTTTTAAATTTCAATATTTGACACAGCCCTCGTCCACATTTTATGAGTTTGTTAAAATAATAGCCAGCTATATACAACCATCATACATATACATAATGTTACAATCGCCAAGTTTAATAGATTGAGATAAAATGTAATGTTTTTAAATTATAAAATAAATAACATCAGTATATTATGATATCATAATAATATTATAACATTTTTATAGTATCAAAACAATAATAACGAAAAAAAGTAATGCGTAGATAGAAATTATTATGACCCTTCCCCTCTGTATATGGAACATCACTGCAGACGGACGTTAATACGACTATTATTATATACATCAACATAAACTAAAACACATTAATTATATAAAATATATATAACGCATAATTTCTTTGTACAGGGTACGCGTTATTAAATAGATAGAACATGTGTATTGCTGTGTTATTTTATCTTCATARTAATAATATAATATTTATTGTTTATCGTGTTCGATCTACAATCTACATATTTACACGCCATGGATGAATATACAGGTAGGCATTATGCATAGAAATAAGTTGATAATTGATGTACCTATTACATAAATATTAGAATAAAACTTTAAGTACACAAAGCCACGTTATATGTAGAGGAGAAATCAGAAAATGTACACACACTAAACCTGAATAGGTAGTAAATAGTTCAACAATTAAGCAGTCATGAAAAAGCAATCATATCTTTAAAATTCAAACTTTAAAAGTATAGCTATAGGTAATACTTTTATCACTTAATTGCCTAAGTGCTTAGCTCGAGCAGCTATATACATTGTGTTCGATTTCGTTAAATTTTCCGGTTCACAAATATTGATAAACAATGACAGGATATGTTGGTCTTAGGCTCCTGATTTAATGCGTAGGTATCCGCAGAATGGAACGGAGGAGAAAATATGTCTTATATATTTTCCTTTGGAGTAAATATAATATGAATGACGATGACGTGCTTCACTATTTCGAACAGAACCACCTATATGTTATGCGATGTACAGAAAATTCGTCAAATATTACGTTTATTGGACAAATTATATAATAATAATAATAATAATAACAATAATTATGTTATATATCTCTTTCCCCTCACACCGCCGAAAATTGGTACATTATATTATATTGTTATAAAAATTGCTTTAGAAATCAAAAAACATCCGAAACATGTGGAAACCGTGAAGAACAACGACGATGGTGCACTAGAGTTACAGGACATACTCTATGATCTGTCGGTGCGATAAACAGATTAAGGTCGATTATTACATATATACGTACAGTGTCCAAAGGTTATCGTGTGCGACGGTTACAACAATTATGTTCTGTGCCTATATGGCTATATACTTATCATTGATCTGAATGAAAAACTCTGATCGTAACATTAGGGCATTAAATATATTATATGTACCTATATATCATATCACATAGGTACATATACATTGTATGAATACAATCTTTTTATCTATAACATATGAAAACACGTTTCCCTCTTTAGTCTTTCGTTGAACCGTTAACTCACGTACGTTTACGTTTTATCGTAAACCAAAGTCCTCTAAAGCGTATACACATAATATTTGTTACGTTTATGTTCGCAGAACATTAATCATCCATTGCTATGGTAGGTACTTTAGTCCTCACTCCTCGGTCACAACTCGTCGCTATAGGTCGCGCCGCATACCTACCTACAGTATAACTGCTGCAGTACAGTAACGGACATACGACTGTTAAGACTAAACTTACAAAATGATCAAATCAATAATATTCGTGCTCGTGGGCTTATTAATATTCAGTTTTGGACGTAGTGATGACGGTGCGATCCGCGTCGATCTGGATCCGTTGTCGGATGAGTTCATCGATCACATCAATTCGATACAATCTTATTGGACCGTACGTGTATAATGTAACCGTTGTCATAATGGTTTGCGTATAATATTGTTGTTTTATATTTCAGGCCGGCCGCAATTTTCACAAGGACACACCGACTTCTTATTTTAAAAGATTGATGGGTGTGCACGAGAGCAACGCGCATTACCCGAAATTGGAACAACTGTTGTCTTACACCGACGCACCGACCGATCTGCCGGAAAATTTCGATGCTAGGGAACATTGGCCGAATTGCCCAACTATCAGAGAAGTCAGGGACCAAGGATCATGCGGGTCTTGTTGGGTAAATCAATTTTCAATCTTTTATTTGTTRAAATTATTTTTTAACTTTTTCATCAATATTTATAGGCTTTTGGAGCTGTAGAAGCTATGTCRGACCGTGTCTGCATTCATTCTAAAGGCACTAAACATTTCCATTTTTCGGCTGAGAATTTAGTTTCCTGTTGCTGGACGTGTGGTTTCGGATGCAATGGAGGTTTCCCAGGAGCAGCATGGAATTATTGGA